TCTTGAGGTGCCTGGGTGGCTCAGTCAGTTAAGCGTCTGCCTTCAGCTCAGGTCATGATCCCGGGGTCCTGGGGTCGAGTCCTGCATTGTGCTCCCTGCTCAGCAGGAAGTCTGCTTCTCTCTCTCTCCCTCGCTTGTGCTCTCACTCTCAAATAAATTAAAAAAAGAGAGAGAGAGGTCTTGATGTGACTTCTCATGCATCAAGTCAGAAGTTGATGTATTCGTTAGAACTCTTTGGTAACAAGTAATAGGAACCAACTCACACTAGCGTAAGCAAAGGAAAAGAAAAGAATGGAGAGAGATCTCCTGGAACCTAAGGATGAAAATGCAGAATCGAGAAGCCTTCTTAATTCTCCAGCTCATGTTTATCTCTCTTTAGGCATCTCCTTCATTCTTCTCCCTCCTTGAATACTAGCTAACTCTGCTTCCCTGGTTCACATGGTGAAATATGGCTTGCTCTTACCTTCTTCGATTACTTGTGGTTTCTGCTGCATTTAGAAAGTAACTTGCTGGCTCTCAGTCCGATGCCAGCTCCCAGCCCCAGCTGAATCAGTGTCCACTCTCATTTTAGCCAGCCAGTTCAGCATGGATGCCAAGGATGGGGTGAGGAGGGGAGGGGGGCGCTTACAACGGGACAGATATCTCAAGTTCAATCTTACAGTCTTAATCCAAATGTCCAGGTTTAGCCAGACAAACACCCAAAAAAAGAAAAGCGAATGGGCACGTTAAATGGATGTATTGAGCCTCACATGATGTGCCCAGTTTTTATCAGTGCTTCTGAAGTTTCCTCCACTTTGGTCAAACCATTGTTGGTTTCCTGCTTCAGGCTGGAGGGCATCTTGATGGCCTGGAAGCCCCTGTGAACAAGATCACTAGTCTTACCTTCTGCATGTTCCATTTTTCCACATCAAACGTCCTCATTATAAAATTGTGGATTTTCTCATAAAACCACCCTCTGGAAAGAAGCACAGGATTATTATCTCTTCTCCAACAGCGGCTTTTTCTTCTCATAGACCCCTGTAGGTATAAGCTAAAGCTTCCTTCTTATAAGAAATGCTCGTCATAAGAGAGAGATGAATGTGAAAATGCCTTTTTCTAGACCCTCTGTCTACTCCTGCTGCAGGGATTATTTAAACATGAAGAAATTTCATGATGATTTGAAATCGACTACCCCCTCCATCTCCAAGTGCTTCTGGATCACTTCCCCAGCTGTTTAAAAAGTTGTTGAGCCGTTAACTGCTGCTGAGGCCGCTCGGAGCTCCCTTTGAAATGGGGGTCCCCCAGCTGCAGTACGTAATATTAATGAGCAATAAGTGACTACCTGCTGCTTCCTCCACCTGCCCTCCTGGCCCTTCTTGCCTCCGGAGTGATGGATGCCCCTATCAGCATTTCTATTTCCACAGCTGATTGGACGCCTTTAAATCAGCCTCCTCCAAGAGCACACAGGTTAGGGAAGCTCTTTGCCTTCCTTGGTGCTCTTTGCTCATGCGGCCCCAGTGCACTTCACAAAAAGCAATTCTCATCATCCGGCCCATTATACAGATGAGCAGCAGGGACAGGATCCAAATCCCATAAAAGAGGGAAGAAGTGGGTCCTGAACCAGACGTTCCTTGAGCCCCAGTTTGGGCCAGCAAAGAAGCAAGAGTCCATACTCACTTTCCCAAAACCGAACACATAGTTAAGTATTTCCAAATGCACATGAGCAACTATAGAAGGGTTGTCCTCTTATGCATTTAATGAGAAATTAATGCATAAGAGGACAATTCCTCCCCTTCCCTAAAGGAGCAAAAAAATGCTTTCAAGAATTGTAGTATATAGGATCCCACTTTATAAATCCCAGTTTACTAAATGAGCAGGTTACTTTAACTGCTACGAGAAAATGAAAATATGATTTTGCTTTTTTCATTTCAACAAAAGTAAATGGCTGATTTCCACACGCATTAACACATGACCCAATTTCCAGTGCTTGGTTAAAGGGTTAAGTTGGGTTCTTGCCCCCCCCATGACATTGGGTTGAACAATCATGGCCTTGACTGTTCCTTGAAGGAAGCGTTATGTGGGAATGGAAGCAGAGCTCCAAACCCGTATATCGCCGCCATGTGCCAGACACTGCTCTAGACGGTTTGTGTTGACCCAGTTAACCCTCCCAACAACTCTCTGAGGTAGGGACCATCTGATGGATAATGAAGCTGAGAAGTTAAGTGACTTGCCCAAGCTCACACAGCTGTAAATAGCACATACAGGATTCAAACCCAAGCAGTCAGGATTTAAAACCCTGTTATCACCAGGCGAATCCTCTCTATGGTCTATCTGTGTCCCATAGGGAACTCAGGAATTCTATTACTTGTCCCCCACCAAACTAACAGAGCCGAGCAAATGGAACCTCCCCTCTCTGAGGATGATAAATTCTCTGTCTCCTGAAAAGGAGCTAACTTTCCACTCAGCCCCCAGGACTGTTTCAGATACGATACAGAATTTACTTTTCAATTTTGAAAATCAGTTGTAAATTTGTAAGATTTGGACCTCTGTAATAGTTTTTGTTTTGTTTTGTTTTGTTTTTTAATGTCCATTCCACGGACGCAGTCCATCAGCATCCCAAGGGGTGTTTGTCTCAAACGTGGAGGCTGAGCGCCACCTAGACTTACTGACACAGTCCCTAAGGGTAGATCCCAGAAATCTGCATTTTTAGGAAGCGCCCCAGTGATTCCTATGCAGAGTAAAGGTTGACAGTCATTATGGAATCGCATCTGGAAGTTTTCGGAGCTCTGCATATCATCAGTTCAACTGCAGATGATTATAGAAAGCTTTCAAACCCTCTCCGCATTCAGTAGCTATTTCAGGGAGATTGTAATGTGTAAGAAGTGTTCCAAATTGTTGTAGTCTCCGTCTGTGTGAACCAGCTGGTTGAGAGAGCTTGGATAATTTCCCAGGGGACTTCAGTGAAGTGGACCCTGGTATAGTCTTTACCTACGAAAATAGAGAAAAGACACTGTCTTCCACCCTGGACCCAAAGTGACTCTTTCGGAATGCGATTCTGATCATCTCTCTTTTTTGCTGAAAAACCCTTCCAAAGAGCCTTGACGTCAACTTGCATATACTGGCCATGCCCGTCTCTCCCGCTTTTCCGTCAAACATGCTCACTCACCGCTCCGTTCTTCCAATGCTCCAGGTACCACGGCAACATCACCCATGGTTCCAGGGCATAGCATGGACCTCAGCCTCTAGTCAGCATCCACTCTCCCTTCAGAGCTCAGCTTAAGTGGCTCTTTCTCAGGGAAGCCCTGAGAATAGAACGTTCTGTTCTCTACCACTTCTAACCCATTCCTGCATGGCGCCCACCAACTTTCCAGTCTGCTTTTGACTGCGTGATGCCATTATTCACATCCGTCTTCACAAGCAGGTGATAAGCAAGAACCATACTGTCTTGTGCACTTTGGTGTCTAGCAGTGCCTGTTGCAAGTTCAAGTAACATCCTGTTGGAAAGAAAAGTCTTGATTCTCAGTCTAAAATTTAACATCCATTCTATAAACAAAGATTTCACATTTTTCACTTCCACCCCTATCATTAAGCAGCTGTGGGAATGGAAAGCCCGAACCCCAGACTTCTTTATGTGTTCTAGATCCCTTTAATGAATACATCAACAGCTCTGATCCTGATGCTATTTTTGAATTGCTCATAGTGTGGTTATACACTCATTCGTGGTTAAAAGAAAACTTAATGGAAGTGGAAATTTTTTATTTTGAAGAGCCACAAAGTAACTAATTATCTATTTCCTCTTTCACTTCAAAGGCTGAAATGGTTTCTTATTATTGAATAGGGCAGGGAGCACATGACCCTAATTGGTGATTAGATGGGGTTTATTTAATTTTATTTTACCACCACTTTCAAGTGAACCTTTGGTCAGCTGTATGAACTAGCAGGCTTATCTTTTGTGAAAATGTTCTCTACAGGAGGCACATCTTATTCCCACAGTCATTTGATCATAATGACACTTGGTTTTAGGCTAATTTTGACACGAAATGATGAATTCTAAGTGTTCCTAAATTATAAATATGTTAAAAGCCAGAGTTGTTCATCTCCTAAGACCTATGTAGCATTTTGCAAACTGTGGACATTTTAAATTATTATAAAACACTGTCTTCTGGGTATTTGAACTCAAAAAATCACATCCCACATAATACATATATATCAAAATCTAGCAATTACAAGTGGCTGTTCCCCCACGAGTTTTTTTTTTTTTTTAATGCCTCCCTGAGGAAGCAAGTGCCAGTGACCTCCCAGATTCTCTCTTGATTAAATATAGGTCTCATTTTATGCATTACCGCGGAAAAGAATGAGAAAGATTCAGGCAAGCTAGTGAGCAAAGCAGTCCCGAGGATTATGGATCACGCCTCGTACAGTTTAGATTACACCTTCCTCACATGGTTGCCTTCCAAAACCGAAAATCTCACATTCATATCAGAAAACTCTGTGGGAAATGATAGATCATATTAGCTAACAATTGCGATTCATGCCTACACTATTCTTAACACTTTTATATGAATTACCTCCATCCACACAACAACCCAAGGAAGTAGAAACTGTGAGTAAGCCCATTTTACAAACGAGAAAAGCGAGACAGAGTGTATCACGGCCACCCAGCCCTTTAGCAATTTTGGAACCAGGATTCTGACTCAGTCAGCCTGGCTGCAAAGCACCCACTCCTACCAATCAAACTCGACTACCTCCCATACACACTTTATTTAAGAACAGTGAATCAGGACGCCTGGCCCTGCGTGCTTGCTTTCTCTATTTTACCTTTCGAGGATGGGGGTGGGAGGCGCGATTTGTTTTGTTTTGGCGGAAAGGAGAAGCCAAGAGTGAGCCTTCTTTCTTTCCGAACATCTTTTTCCAAAGCCATTTGCCTTCATCTGAGGAGGAAGGACACTGATTCAGAAGACAGAGCACTAATGAGCTTCCTTCCCCCTCTGTCCCCTCCCCCGTCTCTCCCCACTCTGCAGTTAATAGCCAAGATCCCCACCATCACGGCGGTCTGCAACTTGCACGGGGAGAAGCTGCAGGTATTCAAACAATCACATCCAGACATAGTGAATACACTCTTTCCTCCATTATACAAGGAGCTCTTTAATCCTGACTGTGCCACCGTCTGCAAATGAAGGCGACCAGAGGATTGTCTCCTAGTCATGGAATGCATCACCATTAAGACAAAAGCAATGTGTTCATGAAGACTTAAGAAAAAATGTCTACTGCAACATTAGGAATGTCCTGCACTTAATAGAATTATTTTTCACCGCTACAGTTTGAAGAATGTAAATATGCACCTGAGTGGGGCTCTTTTATTTGTTTGTTTTTGAAATGACCATAAATATACAAATAGAGGACACTGGGTGTTATCTTTTTTTTTTTAATTTTATTTTATTCGGGTATGTTTTGGGAGACAACTGTTTATAGAATTTTATTGTAGATATATACGAGAACAGAGCGGTACTTTACATGATTACTTTTCCTGTTAATTGTTCAAATATAATTTAAGAAAATTCCACTTAATAGGCTTACCTATTTCTATGTTTTTAGATAGTTGATGCATGTGTAAATTTGTAGCTGTCTTGGAAAGCACTGTGCATGTATGTAATAAGTATATAATATCTGAGAATATTATATATGACTATTACTTACACCTGCACATGCACTGTGGCTTAAAATACCATACCCACTAGCGAAGGAGGTTCAGTCAGGCTCTCTCATATTATTTCCCTTCTGTGTTATATGTTACCTTTATGTTAGACAATCAGGAGTTTGTTTTCCCAGCCAGACTTTTCAACTATCGTCTACGGCAGGATGGTACCAATTCAGAGATAAGTCTATAAAGGAATAAATATAACGCACAGCCTCTGTATAAGAACTCTAGCTCTATCAGTGACATCAAAGCCTTGTCAGGATGGTAAATATTGAGGGGGGTGGGGGGAGGTATTTGGAAGCCATTTTCCTGTTTTAAGAATTAGGCCACAGATAATATTGTGGAGTCCAGGACTTTTTTTAACCAAACAGTCACTGTTTCCTATCTTTCACCAGGACACGCAAAACACTTCTTTTTTTCCTTTGGATTTCGGGCTGGGAAAGAAACTGATTTTGGTGCTTATTGTATCTTCAGCAGAGAAATGCAGTCTGTAGGTTTGACCACCAGCAATTTTTTTCTAATAAAATTAGAGTCACAGCAGAAATCAGAACCCAGGGTCCGGATGCCATTTCATGTAAACATGTTCTCTCTACCTGTTTTGTTTTGGTTTGGGTTTTGGGGGGAGCTTTTTGGGGTTTTCTTGTGTTGTTGTTGTTGTTTTTTGTTTTTGGCAAAGAAGAAGTAGAAAGAGCACCTACAAAGTAAAGAAGCAGTTCTTCATGTGCATTCTCTTTGCTAAGTTTGTTAGAAAACGCAGCAATAAAGGGGGAGGCAGGATTTTATATGTCCTTCTAGTGTGGGGCCTCTAATTTCTCTCAACTCCAAAATGCTGTACTGTAAGCACAGAGCAAGAACTCGACAGATCTGAGTTATTCTGTAGAACTAATACACCCCAAAGCCAAAACTATTTCCTATGCAGTTTGACATTGCATCATCCATCTAGCGTGGGCTTACTTTTTTTTTAGCAACTTGTACAAAGTACAGAATGCAAGAGGCGAGATGAGGTTTAGTGAATTCAGACTTCCTAGGACAAGTGTTCCCGCTCCACCTGCTCTGCAAGCCAGCTGAGGACCAGGAAAACAGAAACCCCAAGCAGCCTGTTCGGCCTGAGCTCTGGAGGCCCAATGCCTTGGGTCGGAGCTGACCCCAAACAAGAGTAGTTAAAAAAGGAAGCTAGAGCCGAGCTTTGTGTAAAAGACAATGACATGCACCATCTCCCGTAAGCGTAAGCGTAGCCGTGGACTCACGAGGCCCCGCCCTTTCCTCCTCATCAAACACGCACGCACACCTGCTTCGTAAAGTTTCCATCAGTGGAAACTTTGATTTCCTTTTAATCTCTGATGCTCTCCTAAAGTTACATGGTCTTGAGAGCCATCTCCGCGATGCCACAGAACCCCTCCTTCATGATCAGACCGTAGTGCTAGTCTTTTCTTCTAGAGGACAGAGCCTTTTCACACCTCATGATTGATGAATTCCAAACCCATGGGGAAAAACAAAAAGGCTTTAAAATAATGACTCTCTTTCTCAACTACTGTTATATTCAATTAATTTAACTACATTGAACCAAATTACCTTCGGCGTCTAAGAAGACAGCTGCAGACTGCATATTATGCCGCTGCAGGGACTTGGTTGCTTCTGGTGTAAATGTCACTCCTGCTAGCTCTTTGTATAAAGAATTAATTCCAAGAGTCATATTTCCTTCTAATGGAAAGATTACTTTACTGATTGCTAGGAAAACAGGGTAATGGAAGGCGCTCAATTAAACCAAGCCGTTTCCAAATGCAATGTATGTTTTATGATTGGCTTGTGATAGGCAATGCTTAATGTGTCTACTTGGTGTTTCCCTTTGAGCTTTGAACTTATGTCAGACTTTGTTTTCATTGTTCTGTTGGCCTAGTGTTTTCCGTTGTCGGCCTGTAATTCCTGCTCCGTTGCAAAGGGAATCATTTGTTTCCTCCAGTCCACCTTAGAGGATTTAAATTGGCTCAGTTGATGAAGTGGCTGAGAATTTTTTCCTTCCCTGTCCCATGGGTGATGTAGAAAAAGGATTGCTCCCCACATTTGCCTCAGGAGGTCCTGGATTTGAGTTTGTTTGCCATTTCCACTAGTGCAAGCATTTCACTGGGATGGCAGGAACCTTTTGAAGCGAGGGGACAGGAAACAGCTAGCGATTGAATCAGAACAAAACAGTGGAAACCAGTACGTGCTCAGCCCGCCTCAGTAGAGAAGAGAGATGTCCATTTTGCACCCCAGTTGCCAAATCTGTCCCTGAAAAGAGAACCTGGGCATATTTTCAGTGGTAACAAAAGCCTTTAAAAGCTGCCTTTGGAACATCTCCTATGACCCCATCTCAAGGTATTTTGAAATTTGGTAGAGGACAACTTTCTGTACCACATGCCATCTTTGTCCCTTACCAACACCTTCACGCTACAATGCGCACTGGACGAAAGAACCCATGAGCTTCACTTCATGCTTCGTAAATGACAATCACTGCTTGATGCAGATGTTGCACTGTATCCACTCAGGGATGTTTCATTTAAAAAAAAAAAAAAGTACATCAAGGAGGAAGGGGAAAAAAAACAGGAAAATGACAACAAAATGTAAACGGCATAAATTAAATATGCCAACAAGAGAACCTCTCTGACAAGGCTTTCAGAACAATAAGCAGTAACTCTGTGCTGTTAACTGTGTGGACTTGCTGGAAAGTTGCACACGAATAAGGACAACTTGGTCTCATTTTCTAAAATCTGCTAAGAGCCAAATAATCCAGCTTCCCTATTAATGGGAATATGCATCTCCCGAGCAAACCCAAGCTTCCTAGACAAGTCCTGAGCAGGGAAAATACAGAAATCTTAGGGGCGTTAGCAGACTCTGCCAAGGGAGGTACAGTTGTGTGAATTTGAATTCCAGTGTATCTGGGATCTGGAAAAGGAAAGGCAAATTCTGGAAGGAATATAGAAGAAGGGATTCCAAATCTGGCTTGATACGCCACACATATTCCTATTGTCCACAACTTGGGTCGTCTTTGTATCCCTTATTCTGTGGCTTCCCCCTCTTCCCCCCAGAGAATGAAAGCTGAGGGTAGAGATGTACTCTACAAACATACCCTTTCTGGATTTCCCTCATTTGAATACTGTCTTCAGGGTTCTGAAATAAAGGACCACTGTGTAGGTATAAACAGAGATAATAGTGGTCTCTTGGTTAATGTGACTTCTTGGGCAGAATTTGTGACACCTTAAATCACAGTGAACTCTGGACATTATTAGCAAGAGGTGCCAGGGAGACATCAGGACATTTCCCATCATAGCTGCCTTGTCCAACACCTAACTTCACAGCAGTCAAGCTAAATTGTTTGTAGAAAACCACACACATGACTAGTCAACTCACGCTCACTCTTCACAATCCCATGTGTACCAGGCTTGAATGCAAAAGCGATTCTTCTGTCCCAAGGACAACCTAAAACTTAACGAGTTTTTGAAAACATTGGTCAGATGCAAATGATGTCCGTTTTGTTGCATGTGCTTTGTTTCCATGTATTATAGAAGCAAGGAAAAATTCCACTGCTGTTGGAAATTAGAAATAACTTTTTCCTGACTCTCTTCTCTCTGTAAACGTGTGCTTCCAGTGAAGTTCCTACAGTTGGCAGTAAACTCAGGCAAGGATGCCTGTGCCCTGACAGAGCCACCGTCCGATAGAACAGCAATAACTTGAAAGTATGCATCTGTAGTGAACCTTTGCACAGAGTCCCCTGTATCAAGAAGATGAAAAGTCCACCATCTGCTTTAGATGAAGTGATATTTAATTTTTTGTTTCCAACTGCCAATAAAAGCAGCAGGCTGGTATGGGAAACCAGGTGGGTCATTAGACAGGAGTTGACAACCTATTTTGTGTAAGGGCGCGAGGACAGGTCTCAGGACCCAGAGGCACATGTTCATTTGAAGCAAGGGTTAAAAATTCAAAAGCCTAAAAGGGCCAGGGAGTTGATGCAAATGAGCGAGAGCAGTTCAGCGGCCAGCCGGCAAGGAAATGCCCCATCTGAAAAGGGACATCCGAAGGCCAGCTAAAGCCCAAGTGTTGCTAACGCTTCTGAATCTTATAAAATCTCCCTAGTTGTAAGTGATGTCAGTTGATTCAGAGCTGAGGGCAGACCAAACAAATACATCTCTGAGAAGAGGGTCCATGGTCTGCAACCTCTGGTTTAAAGCAAAATTGAATCTAGGGGCCTGTTTCCTGGAGTAAGTCTGGCCAGACAGGACTCCGAATGAATTAGGGGGGTGGGGGTGGGCGTGGAGCTCTTGCCCACTGATACTCAACTTGGTTTCCACATCTGATTGTCACTCCCAGAGGATATAGTAAGAGTGTAGGGGGAAAAAAAAGGCATCTAAAAATGCAAGCGATTCAATTTAACAATGGCTTATGAGAGACATTTCTATTTGTCTTGCCCAGACTCCTAGCTTCATAGAGCCAGGTGGCTAGGTTTCTTGCCACTTTCTTCTTGTCAAACGCATGATCTTTACGCTTTTGAGTCTCAATGTGTCTCTTTGGATACGTGGCTTCGATATCTGTGACACGTGTTTACTTTCCCTTAGTTGTATCTGCAGAATGTATTCTGTAGTCATGATCACGCAGTCCTCCATGTTCTGAAGTGCGGGACCTGGGATTCCTATGCAGCTGATGGAGGTTGTCTGTTTGTGCACTTTTTGCCTAAGCTGCTGAAAATCCTCCGAAGTGAATTGGCCATAGTAATCTTTGCCTCCTGCATGACTGTAAGCACGACCTCCAGTGGATCAGAAAAAGCAGTTCAGTGATTGTTCTCATGGCCAAAACTAAAGCACAAGGTGACCGGCATTGAATAGACCCAGTTGAGGGAGGCGCAGAGTGTCCACACCCCAGCTGGGCAGCATGATCCTTCTTTTAAACCCTACTCTTCTGGCGGGGGCTGGTGGAGGGCATCTGCGTGCCTCCATCCTGACCACATGCACACACACGTTAGGTATGTCTGAAAAGCTACAGATCGCTCATCCAAGCACAGTACTGTCTGCTTCATTTGAGGAACACACACACACACACACACACAGAGTGCAAACTACACCCACAGAAAACTGAGTATGTATTGTAGAAATGTAGAGGAAAAATAAAAATATTTTTTCAAATGTAATTACTTTTAATATATGCTTGTGGAAGGTCTAATACAATGTATGCTGTCTCTGTAATTTTTGCTGTAAATAACTGGAGACAGTGAATACACTGATTTTTCTATGTCTCTGTTTAAGCTTAAGACTTTGTAACAATTTTTTTAGAGGGGGAAAAACCAACAAAGAGCAAATATGTACTTGCTTCCTTTCTGCGTATTCTGCGTGTTATGTACTTTTCAGAAACTGGTTGTTAACCGTTTAAGCATCTTGACGGGTCATTGGTGTTAAGTGTATGCTTCTTTTTGTAATACAGCTGAGAAAGGGACAGGGCTGTCCATTAAATCTGCTCCAAAGAATTTGTACTGAAGACCGGCCCAAGACCTGCAAACACTATCTGAACTAGACAATGTGAGGAAAGAAAGTTTAAAAAAAAAAAAAGTTGCCTCAGTAAGTCATCTTTCCTTATAGCAAGTGGCTTTGTCCAGATCCTTTCTGCATGGACTAGCTTAAGGAACAGAAACCCTGCTTTCTGATGAACAAACTATTTTTGTACATGTTGATTTCTTATGAATAACCTGAGGTCAGATCACTCATTTGCTGAAGCCATAACTGACCTTCACCAAATAAATGTTGTGAAGAACCTGGGGGAGGGTTGGGGAGACACCGAGAGGGAGGAAGATCGAAGGTGTCATGAGCTGTAACCACACAGGCAGGAGCAAGTCTGATGAACCTGATGCTTTTCCTGCATCCCAAATATGACTTTAAAAGGCTAGTATTTTATGATGATCGATTTATAATAAAAAAAAAAAAAGATATTTAGATTTAAATGAGACTTTCCAATATTTTTTAAATCCCTGACAATGCTTCCCTGCGTTTAGGATTGAGAGAAACGATTTTCATCTACTTCCCACATTCAGAGATTTGATTTTTATGTTAGCTCCAGCCTACACGTGTAAAGTGAAAAACGACTGCAAGTCCTCCAGCAGTTGGAACCACAGGCTGCCAGGGGGCTCGGCTGCGCCTCCCAAACAGGATGCACCTAGAGGGGCCACCGTGAAGCGCAGTTGATACGTCTTATTAGCATGCACACCACGGTTGGCAATGCACAAACGTTGCACTGCCAAACACATGTAAAATAAAAGTATTCACTCTAAGACGCATAATAATTATACTTTTTTAAAAGAATAATGCCTCCTATAGTCACCATTGATTTTTCTGGAGCTTAATCACATTATTGCCATGTATTATTATTGGCCTATAGAGGCAAAAGGCAAACTACAAATAAACCCCGTGACATCTAGTTTTAAAATCTACAATTTTCTGATCTCTCTCTCCTTGTTTAATATATAAGCCCTAATTTCTGTGTACGTGAGTAAAACTGCAGCCTGAGTCATTTAGGAAGTAAGCATTGAGTTGTTTTTTTTAATTATTATTATAAATATACTAGAATAAAACAGCACTCCCTAACAATTAAAAAAAAGAGTTTTATATTACTTTAGAATGTAATAGGTTTTTGTCCTTATTTTATGTCCTGTAAATTATTAGTTGAATACTGTTAGCATTCCCAGATAATGCACACATGATTTCTGAATGTTTTCTGTAAATGACAATCAATGTTTATGAAGTTCCCTCCTTTAATGCTGAACAAAATTAAAAGAAGAAAAAGAAAAAAGTCTCGCCTAATCATTTTCTTTTCCCTGACAGGGAACAAGGAGGGGATGAAGGAGATAGACAGATTTGCCTTTGAAAACATTATCCCATGGGCTCTTAAGTTGCCCTTTCTCCAGGATCTAATGGATAATTCTTTTCTGGAAATTCTTGTGTCCTCATGGACCTGGCCTGGGTTAGACGTGCTCACTGAGAAAAGACCCACACTTCACCACAGTCTCGTAGCTCACCAAGTTGCAATTAAAATACAAGCAGCAGCTCTCAAAGATGGTAGCTCTCCTTTTCTAGAACTTTCATAAAAGGAGGCCCCAGCCAGCAGAGCCATGAGCAACTCCTCTGCAAACATTTTGTTGGAACAAGTCGCCACAGGCTTGCAAATAGATGTAACAATCCCTACACCTGATAAAAGCTTTCAGATAATAAATAATTGATGACTAAGTCTCTAGGTCTGATTTTTTTTTTTTTAAACAAAGCAGCACCAAGCTACTCCGCCACCAAAATCAATGCCCACTAACATATGAATACTCTGAGTTTTAGGTGAAGATATAGTAGAAAGTAATTGAGGATAATCACAGACTCACAGAGATGCTGAAAAAGGCAATTCTAAGAGAGGCTGTTGATTTTTTGGGTGCTTGGAGGCCCTTGCAGGTTGGGGTCCCTAGAGCTGAAATGCTCCACTAGTAGTTTAAAGCAAGATTTAACAGATTTTGCCCTGGTCCACACAACAAGATGAGCCTTACAAAGCCATA